TGGGGGGATGGGAACGGGTTGGTGCGGGGGGGAGCTGGGTGCCTGGGGGGTAGGTAAGGGGAGCTGGGTGCCTGGGGAGGGGTTAGGTGGCAGGGACCTGGGTGTGGGGGTGAGTGGGTTAGGTGGCAGGGAGCTGGGTGCCTGGGGGAGTTAGGTGGCAGGGAGCTGGGTGTGGGGGTGAGGGGGTTAGGTGGCAGGGAGCTGGGTGCCTGGGGAGATTAGGTGGCAGGGAGCTGGGTGTGGGGGTGAGTGGATTAGGTGTGGGGGGGGGCTGGTGGGTTAGGGATTGGGGAGCTAGGTGGGTATGTGTGGGGGAGCTGGGTGCCCAGGGGGTGGGTTATGTGTAGGGGAGCTGGGTGCCTGGAGGGTTATGTGTAGAGGAGCTTGGTGTGTATGTGGGGGGGGGGCGGTTATGTGTAGGGGATGTAAAGGCATGGGGGATTATGTTTAGGGAAGGTGGTTGCAGTGGGGTTACGTATGGACATCATTGGACTGGGCACCGGGATGGGTGAAAGAAGGGGCTAGGTCTGATGGAAGCTGGGTGCTGAGAGAGCTAAGGTGGGTACATCCCAGCTTAAATACAAGGCGAGGGAGGGCACAGGAGGCAAGGATCTGCCCTAGGTCAGACAGGTGGTCTCTGGAGAGTTTCATCATCCTAGAGGGAGATTTGGAATTTCCCCTTCTGCTTTTTTTTTTATTTATTATTATATATTGTAATAAGTTCCAGAGGCCCCAATCAGGATCAGTGCCCCATGGTGCTGGTTGTTGTGCAAACACATAATAAAAGGCCATACCCCCAAAGAAGTCAGGTTGTAAATTAAAACACGATGAAGCAGAAGTGTAGCACACAAAGGAGGACAAAGCGTGGCTTCTGTCTCTTCCACCAAAGGACAGAGGAAGTAGGAGAGAGAGAAGGATAACCATAGTAAGAGCACATGGGAATGCAGATTAATGGTCTTTCTTCTGTTTCTTTGTCCCCTCTGATTTTCTCCCTCTCCTCTGCTCCTCACCGCTCTCTCTGATCCTGCCAGTGAGTGCTGCACACTTTTAGAGTGCCAGTCCACCCCCTCCTTTCATCAGTCCAACTCCTGTTTCTGCCTCAAAAACATAGCCAGGGAGGGAAGCCAAATGCCAATCAGGGAGCAAGACCAGAGTAAAGAACTCCCTGATGGATGCTTACATCCTCACACTGGCGGTGTGTTTCAGACGTGAGGGACAAGAATGGAATAGTAATGTGCTGCACAACTCCACCCCAGGAAGGATTGAGGGATATGGCACAGTGCTCTGAACCCCTGTCCAGGGTTTAAAGATGCCAAACATGTTAATTTATAATACTAAGCATTTGTATTTACCTGAATGATTTAAATCACAGGGCTCTGCAGTCCATGAGCAGAGCTTGATGATATTAACAACCTGGGGCAACTAGCAACATAAGATAACTTGAAGAACCCCAGTTGGCCATAGGTACTGTGGGATAACTATTTTAAAGTAAATTAATATCACTTACCACATGCAGGTAAACATTACATTTAAGAATGGGAGAGGCCAAAATGGGAGCACACATGAATGAGACAAGTTTAGATGTATTACGAATTGTGACATTAACCGGGAACTAGACAAACCTGTAAAAGAATAGATTATGTTATTGAAACATTGCTATATCTTAAAAGATAATACTTAGATTCAAAGCATTATATAGATGTTAATTCTTTAATCTTCTCATCATCTATAATTAATTTTAGCTATATTTCACTAAACTTTTTATTAATACAACCCCCTTTTCAATTAACATGGAAGAAACACAAACAATAGATAAATATTTAATGATGAATCACCATATTTTCCCTTTTTTGGTATCTAAAGTTTTTTTTTAAATCTTCACACTCTTCCACATTTACATTTCAGTGCTCATCTCTATTTTAGGTGCAAATCATGTCACAGTACTTATCCTAATTGATGGATGTAGACTACATGGAGATCACAAATATAAATCTCAGGAACCACTGCTGATAAACCTAAACACTGGAAATGCTGTTGACACATGTCTCTGGATGCTCTCCCCATTCTTCCTAAATATTATTTCTGTATGTTACTGTATAATAAACAATCTTTCTCTCCTCTGAGAAATTGACTATTTTGAAATAACCTGTTTTCATGTCCTAATCACTCTCATTTACAAGTTTCTCCTAGAGAGCGAGCCTGGTTTCCCATATTGGCCTATCTAGGGCACAGGCATGAAGATCCTGGAGTCAAGGGCTGGTAAGCCCCAAAAGCCTGAATTTGGACTAAACCTCCAGTGTGACACTGCCAGACCTGGCATGTTGGACTCAGGCTTGTTCCCAAGGGCAAGGAAAGCCAAGTCTCAGGAAGAGGCAGCTCACCACAGGGCCAGAGCAACTGTCTGCAGGGACACCAAAGGAGTAGGAGACCCACTATACCAAGCCCAACCACAGTGGCAGACTTTTCCACAGGGAGTTTTCCCATTGACTTCAATGAGGCCTGGATTTCGCCAAGGGAGAGCAAAAGTAACCAAAAGGTACCTTTGATCCCCTACCCTTGTCCCTACAGGTGTAAGAACTGAGTAACTGAGAATCAGGCCCAATATTATTCCATCAGTGTCCAACCTCTGGCTCTGGGCTCTAAACGGTAGCCTTCAAGGACCACTATGTTAAGAAGAAGAACAGGAGTACTTGTGGCACCTTAGAGACTAACAAATTTATTAGAGCATAAGCTTTCGTGGACTACAGCCCACTTCTTCGGATGCATATAGAATATGTTAAGAAGAAAATTTGTATTGGATTATGAATTGGCAATGTGTTCCCTGAGCCATGCCTTGCAATTTTTAAGCTTAAGTTTTTGAAAGAAACTAAACAGTGTAAATGGGGTAGAACAGGGAAAACCATCTGCACCAAAATATTGATTTTGGCTTTTTTGAAATAATGGTTCACCCTCAGACAGAAAAGGTTGGTTACCACTGTATTATTCAATATGCTTTTGAAAACGTTTGTAATTTATTAATATATATGGTGAAATCCTGGCCTTTTGAAGTCAATGACAAAACTCCCATGATGGATTTCACCCATAATGCTGGAATGCTAAGACATGCACATAAGAATATTTTCTGTCCAGTTTTACATGTTTTTTAAAAACTAATGCTATTTAGAACGTTGGAACACAGTAAACAACTTTAGTTTTGAATTCTTATAAAAGTTCATGGCTTCCTGAGGTAGAGACACCACAGTTGAGATCATCCAAGGTAGGGTCCCCTGGCTTAAGCATCTTATAAGCAGCTACATACTATTGAGTGAAGGACCTTTCTGTTAAGGTTTCTTCATTTAAGGAAGCCTCTGTGGGTATGTTGCCACAGGGATTAAAAAAAACATGGCTGGCCCAGATCAGCTGACTTGGGTTGGCAGGGCTTGGGTTCTGGGACTGAAAAATCACTGGAGTCTGAGATCTGGGATTCTGCGAGGGTGGAGCATTTGAGTAGCCCCTTAGCAGGTTTGAGTAGCTTCAGGGCTTTGGCCCTGAGGCTGTTCTGCCAACTGAGTAGAGTAGCTGACTATACCCCCTTTTTCCTAGCTGTGCACCTATGCCTGGAGGCTGAGATTGGAAGGAGGGTTGACGTAGGAGCCTCTACAGTAGCTCTATGTTACCCAGGGATTCCCCTCCTATTGCTGGTTGCATGACTCCTTCACACTGCTAGAATAACACAAAGCCAAAATAGACCAGAGGATATGTGGCCCACTACATATTTTCTTTTTTCCCTTTGCTCCCATACTTTACTTTTCCTCCCTCTTTCCAATTTGGTTTTCCTCACACTCTCCCCAAATGTGTGTCTCTTCCCCATGATTTCCTGTTGCTTTTATTGCTACTTGGCTAAACTCTGCTATTATGCTGGCAACTGTAAAGAGAAATTTACAAGAATCCTGATCTCTGAAGCACTGAGACGCAGCAATTCAGAGATCAAAATTCTTATTCATTTTACATTACAGCTGCCAGCACATAGAGTGGAGTGCAGTGGACCAGCAGGGAAAAACCTTAGGGCAGTAGCAACAACAGAAATAATATTAGATTTTCAATTTAATTTCATGAATTGTGATTGCTAAAAAAAATCATGCTCGAAATCAAAACAGTCATGGTTGAATCCTGAACAATGACAAGCTTGTTGTTTTCCTAGTGCCTTGACAGAAAACTATTTTAAGCAAAGTATTTTTCCTACCATCCTAAGGGAAAATAATTTTATGGGCACGGAGACAAGTTATTAGTAGTTTGTCGTCTTTATTTGTTCTGAAACAGAACAAAAAACCCCCCAGAAGATTGGATTATACTTAATTGTCCCAATTTGTTCAAACCACTAAATATGAAAATACACTTAAGTCTCATGCAAACACCTACAGACCTTTTTTCTTCCACTATCCCCTATAAAATCAGGACTCTTCAGTTGCTTTTCCTCTCCTGTGCTCTGAAGCAGCTTCCACTAACTATCATTCAACTGGAACCAGAAGAAAAAAATTAGAACAATAACAATGTGGAATCAGCGATCCTCACGGGTCTCAAGTGCTTTACCATCCAGGAGTCTAAAGAATAAAGATAAAACATATTAGGGATGGGTGGGAGTGGGAGGGAAGTAATAACTTGCTTCTGC